CCAAAATAATATTTATACAGTCCTGTACTTAGAGGACAAAATGATTCTCCTTTTATCAAACATGCATTAGCCTGTTGACCTGTTAATACCACCCAGGTGAGAAGAGTCCAAAAAACATAGTTCATATTTCCACCACTAGGGGCAACCAAAACCCCCAAATAGCCAGTTCTGCTGATTTGTGGAAAAAATAAAAAGTTAGAAACATTAACAGTGAGTGATTTTATACATTCACATAAAATGTGTGGCAATATACTATGTAACTGTATATAATAATAAATAGACACAAGGAAGTGGAAGAAGCTGGGGGAATCCATTATCTGTGAGGGGACAAGTGTTCATCAATGTAGGCTCAGTGCAAACAAGTGTAAACATATTCCAAAGCAGTGGATGCTTTAGTGCAGGGGTGCTGGTGGTGCGCAGTGCTGGTCAGTCTTTCACTTCTCCCTGAGGAGGTACAACACGATGGCTTTCAGATAGTGTCCAAAGGTGCAGGCAGCTGTCACCAGCCAATGAGAGTGGAAGCTGGCGTCAGTGTTCACCACGCATTTCGTGACATCCACCTGTAACAGCAGAGAGGACACTGAGTCATGGAGTCTCACTCTTACACGAAACAACACAGAACAGCTGCATCTGAAGGAAATCTATCAAAGTGTGTTCTTACAGCGGTTTAGATCCAACATGTGTTGTTGATTTGACAATATTCTGAGAATCTGCATAGACAAGATGAACAATCTACCCACAAATATGTGATTTCAGAGCCAAGGCCTACCCTTTAATCTCAGCGATGCTCACTCCAGCAATGTACTTATATACATTCAGAAATAAATCAGACCCCTTCACTTTTATCATGTTATGTTGAAGCCTTTTCTTTTTATAATTCACTTTGTGATTGTGTTTTAACAGAAAACAAATGTACACAAAACCAACACGACATAGAAGAGACAGTAGTGACAAAATCCTGTACAGGTTCATTACTATCGCAACACACAGAACAAGTGCTAAGTACAATCCTCCCTCATAACAAGACTACTACGCTCAAAGCAAGCTTTGCTGCTTCAGTTGGTAATGTTGATGATATATAAAGGCAAACAGTCCAATATACACCTTTGACATCATGCAGGCAACCTCCACATGAAATAGTATGTAAGCAAACACAGGTCATCTCCCACAGATCATGAGTAACAGCTAACATGGATACTTTTTATTTTCTCCCTCATCAGTCGACACTCAATTACCCATTATGAACTAGAATAACCGCCCTGCAGTTGTATGCCACCCAGTCCAATCTCAGTCTACACACTTTTTCTTTCCAGACTCACATGAGTTCACCATCATTTGTACCAAATTTAAACTAATTCCTCGCAGAATATCTTGAGATATCACGTTCATAATACTTTAATGGGCTGACAACCCGAAAACGTAATCCTCAGTGAAAACAGACATTTCATTTTTTCAAATGTATTAAAAAGGAAAAAATGAATCATCACATTGACTTTATTATTCACACTCTTCTATGACATTTGTATTCAGATTCCTCCAATTTCTCTTCATCATCTTTGAGATGTTTCTACACAGTGACTGTAGTCCAGAGTCTCAGACTGCGTCATGAGGTTCATCTTCAACAAGACAATGACCATGAGCACACGGCAAAGACAACACAGGATGGACAACTCTGTGAATGTCCTGTGGCCCAGCAAGAGCCCTGACTTGACCCCGATCAAACATCTCTGGAGGGACCGGAGAATGTCTGTCCAACTGACAGTCATCCATCCAAACTGAAGAATGACAGAAAATCCCCAAATCCAGGTGAGCAATGTCACATCATACACAAGAAGACTGGAGGCTGTATCGCTGCCAAAGGTACTTCAACTTAGCAGGGATCTGAATACTCTCTGTTAGTATTGTAACTGTAAAACATATATAGAAAATTAAACACCACACAATGTAAAGTTCAGTTTTCATCCTGACAATAAACACTCTTCACATCCATCACTAAATGTTATGAAGTTTTCCTAAATGCTGACGTCATCTCCAAGTGTCAGTCGGAGCTCGGAGTGCAGCTGTGAAAAACAGCTCCCTCATTTGTGCTTATGAGGTCAGTTAAACAATGCATTGCTCTTCATTTTGTCACACTCCACTTATTCTCAACACGCAGCGGACTGGGCTGCCGTGATTCTGGGTACAAGGGCGTTCATTTGTTCGGCTGTCGTGCTCTTTCCAGCAGAGCAGAACACAGGCAGAGGCACGTTGCCAGGCCTTGTTTCTTCTTGTGGCTGAGTTTCACTCATTTGTTTCTGCAGGATTTTATCTCTGATGCAGTGGCTCCAGTGTATTTGTGTCATTTACCCCCCCCCCCCCCATGCCTCTATTCATGCCAGCTGTCGTGGATGTGTCCTTCCTTTTTATGATGTGTCTAACTAAAATAAAACACTTTCACCCGCGTTCACCCCAAATAAAAATTTGGGGTGAACGCTCAAAGAAAACAACATGGCTGCGGGTGCTGACTGTACAGTTGTGACATCACAAAGTAACTGTATTCCCAGCATCTCATTTTAAATGTACAATATGTAACTTCCACCACCAGGGGTCTCTCAATCAAAACGCTAACTAAAGACCTAATTTGATTGTTGTGAAAAAGCATGGGACACATTTTGCGTCTCATAATCGTCTTTGGCTCGTTCAGTTCCGATGTGCATTTGCACTTTACTTATGAGTGAGCAATACAAACAGTGAAAGAACAAAAAAAGTTGACTGGCTACCTGGCTAGCAGCTTGTTTTTCCTCCGTCATACACCATTTGCCTCCAGAAGTTATAGCAGCAAAGCCACAGGTAAAGTGTATATGATGCAATTAAATGGCAAACAAAATGAAACATCCTGTTACCTTGAATAAGACCAGGGAATCCTTTGAACATGTTCGCAAACATTTTGGATAACATAAGTACACAAGTCAACAACAACACATATAACATAGGTCGTTTTTAGTATACGTATTATATCTTTAAAATGCAGTTTCTGAATACTGGCTGTGTGCATTTTCCCTATATAATACTTTCACAGTATTTATACAGCACCTAAAGCTGAATTATAATCAAAGAACACATGGAAATCTTACTCTACAATAAGGGACCATTGTAAATTTGTAAATATGTAAATTAGACAAAAAGATGAATTTGAGGATCTTACTTTTCAATGTTAGACCTACTGACTTTATGATCAGCAGACTTTTTGATAATAATCATAAATGTTAGTTGCAGTAGTTTTCAGATATAATAATCTGAGCGTTACTTACCATACCCTATCATTTCAGTCCCGGTATAATATTCCTCGTTGTGTTATGTTGGGACTTGGAAAAGATGTTTTAATGATTTAAGATGTGGCCATGACAACCACAGCAGGGTATGCCAGCAATAACATGAACACACACACACTGCCAGTTTACCATCGTAAACCTAAAGGCCTTAGAGTTGCATCGTCAGCAACATTCACATACACTCAAACAGCTGCAAAATAAGGTAAATAAAATTAGGTAAAATGAAGTTCCCTTACCCAGCCCCCTCTCCTTTTTAACCAGGTGGTCAGACTCTTGCGGACAAACTCTCCCATGCAGTCGACGATGGTATGGACCATGGCCGGATGACCGTGGCGTACACAGTCCACCGCCAAGGCCCCTGCCACGGCGTACAAAGACACCACCTTTCCCCATGTAATACCTGACAAAGACACATAAGTAATAAAACAGTAACTATGCATGCTAATTTATGTCCTGCTATGAAGTGGAATGTGTGCTTTTTTTGAGTGTATGTGAGGTTACAGGGCAGCAAATGTTTGTGTCAGCAGCTCTCTTCAAAGATGGATGAAGAAACTATAAAACCGCAGCAGCAGCCGGGCATTAGGCCTGCGTGCCTGTCTGCACCACAGAAGAAGAAAACCCAAACACAGGGCCCCGAGCGGCAGTCAGGCAGTACGCCTCACTTGATAAGTGAGCAGATCATTTTTCCAACGTGGTCCACATGTTGAGTAAAGCTTTCTGCCACCGCACCATTTACAGGCAAAGCTTCAGATTGTTTCTGCACTGTTTATATGTCCTGTACATACAAAGTGAGCCTGAGCACCATCCATCTTCTGTAACTGCCGTCTGATTCATTCCTAGAATCTCATCAATAATCTCATGTTTCTCTTTAATGGTCTGATCTTGTAGGGATGGCACACTGTGAACCCTTTTAAAACTGCTCTCTGTTATTTGGTGAGTTAAAGCAATGCAATTGTAATCATCAAGGCAGTAGAAGACGAATCATCGATACTTAAGTATGAAGGAATATTATTCAGCAGCTTTATAAATTGTAAATCAAACACTTTTCATCCCCACACTGCTGCAAAAGTTCCCACAAATATGCTGCACTTGTAGTTTGCTCGGTCTACCTTACCATAAAGCAGCTCCATGAGGTTTGAGTCTGGAGACTATGCTGCTCTTCATCATGTGAGGCCTCTGTCTGCTTCTTTTCTTCTAATGTTTCAGGTCATTATGTTGCTTGAGAGTGAGCCTACAATCAACAAGTCTGTCTTCCTTGTTACGTGCCTCTCTCTCACCATTCTGGAGACAATATACTTCCTGCAGTACACTATTGTCCTAATAAAGCATTAGAGAGTTAACACAGTCTGCTCCAACAGTGCCTTTGAACAGACACAGGTTTCTTTAATAGTCAAGAATGCAATTTCAAGGCTTCGTTCATTACAAATTACTGCAGATAAGCAGGAAGCAAACCAATTTCACATTCCCTGAAGAAGGCAAGATTTGCTCCAGTGACCTAAATTGAAGTTGATTTTTTTTTTTTTACTTTCCTCATTTGGGAGCTTTGTGAGAAACAAACTTGAAGAAAAACTGATGTGCAGATTTTCAGCTAGACCCCACACTATTTTCAGTAGTGGCTAACTTAACGATAAATCAAATAAAAATGAAAGAAAGAGTGGAAAGATGGACGGACAGATGGACGGACTGACGGACGGACGGGTGGGTAATAGATCGCCAGATAGATAGGCAGATAATCCACTCTTAATATAAAACTATAGATAAAGGTTTCAAAGGGGACATCTAATCTCTTCCTGTGCAGCTGCATTGAGTACAGTACTGAGCTCGTACATATAAGACAAGCTTGTGGTCATAATCTACTGCTGCCCATGACTTCCTCTTCACAGTGAAAAGTGTCGACCGTCAGCTTTACTGTCTGTGCATATTTACACTGCTATCATGGTAGGCTGCTTTATAAACCTGATGTAAGCTGAAACTAACCCCTACATTTGTTTCCCCATGTAAATCCCTAAATAAACACCCAACTCATAATTATAACCATAAGGCCGTGTTTGGATTAAGGTACAGATTCTTTAATTGATATATATGCAAGATGTAAATTTCGTAAGAAACTCTGCTCATATTAAGGACCAGACAAACCAGATTTGTGCAGTTAATTCTTTATTACCTAAGCAGCAGATTGCTTTGTTGCATTCCCAGAAGATAAAACTGGCTGAGATTCATGACTGAACTCCCAGGGTGGGGTCCAAACTGTCTGTAACAATCATCTTAACCTAATATGGACTGAATGTTTTCCCTCCGTTTCCTTTCCTGGAGGGCATAATGACAGCACCACACTGTTTCTGACTAACTGGAGGATTCTGTGGTCAGCCTACTTTAGAAGTGTTTACATGGAAAACTAGCCTGAAACTAGTTTACTTTAGGTGAGAGAGATTAAAGTTAATTCAATGAAAAAGCATTGAAGGGGGGAGTAGCATAAGTACTCGGAACAGGTCCTCCTTCTATATAAACTTCCCTAAAAGGATGAATCTTCCTTTACTTTCAAGTGTGTGAGGGTCAGAGTTGAGCCTGATAACAAAGCACTATAGTTAGTTCCCATCATGCAGGCATACATGCAATATCATCGACCTGCAAACCCACAGAGCCCCTGCCCCCCACCGTTTTAGACCAACGCATGCATGAGCCAGAGCCACTGTACCTACGCATGCATGAGCCGCACAAGCTGCTAAAAGTTTCTGTCCCACTAAGAGAAGGAAACTGAACATCTAGTATTCATATTAACTTCATCTAGGCTGAAAATGAATGTCTGCATCTATGATAGACACATAAATAC